ATACATAATGCTGCTCATCGGAACATTTTTTGTTTCGTACGGACGTTTTGGAGAGCTTGACGGGCTAGAGTATGAAAATATTTACCCTTCCTGGGATTTATTGCAAGGCCATCTTTATTGCCGGGAGGAGTCCTATTCCCATATCCTGTTGGGAGGCAATGAAAGCAATTCCGAACCGATGCAGAAGTGGAGGAAGGAAGAGAAGGGCCATCTAGACCATCGGACTTTTAGCTAGTACATGGGCTGTTAGTATGGTAAGTTACAACATCAATATATACTACTACAGTCTGTCCGTTGGTAGCAGGTGTATATTGCGCAGTGGTTGACGGGTTCAGCCCAAATACACACGATCTCGGTCTATGTCTATAGACCTTAAATATCTCCTCTGTGCTCTAATGCCAAACGATTTGTTGAGGTCTTTTGAACTTTATTCGGTCTCGGGACCTAGGAAATGTACTGGTATTTCCTATAGTAATCGACCATCTGGAAATCAGCTCTAAGGCTCGCTGATAAAAAAACTCAGACTGATTTTGTGCACTTCTCAGATCATACAAGTTCCGACACCCGATGGTAAGTCTGAATAAAACGCGGCAACTTCCTTGGCTTCAAAGGGCTCAGGCAGAAAACAATATGGTCAAACCACACAATACGCGTTGGAGGAAGGAGAGAGGGGGGACTGATAAAAACAGCTGGCTATAAGGAGCCGGTCAGCCTCCCAACCAACACCTGAGCAGTGTCGCTCCGGTAGATTGTAGTGGTCGGGGAGGGGGGTTTTGTTTTGTCTGTTTTCGGACGCATTCGTGGTTAACCTGCCGATAGCGAGTTTTACCAGCAGGCTTAGGGCATATTTCCTAGCCTTCCCCCAAAAACAATGCCACCCCGAAATAGGACTGCTCCGCCATCTCCAACACCTTCCGCACCCTACTGTGTATCGTAACATTACTGCAGTGAGGGTTGGGGGGACAATCCAGAATTAGTCTGGGCCGCCTACGGGATTGCCTGTCGTGCTCTGTTTCCGTAGTACTTTTGTTTATGGGTATGGGGCGAAGCGGGTTTAGTGCAAAGACCACCTGGTGTTGGGACACTCTGGTCTGGATTAGCATGCCGGAAAAGGACGGCTGTCGAGATGTAGCTGTCGTGCTGACCACAGCATCGTGGATCCATTGATGAGAAGTGGGTGCGGCAGGGCAAGAAGAAGCCGGAGCACGCACGAAGTTCACCGATGTTTTTAGTGCGGACAGTCAGACAACCGCCCACCGACACTTTTTACGACCGTCGTGGAGCCTAAGTTAACCAATCTGGACGGTGTCACGTATGCTACATGTCCATGCTTGACAGTCCGTAGCAAGCTACCTTTCATCAGTGTGTGGTCGTGCAAGGTCCATCCAACCGCTGCGGCGAACGGGCAGTCGCCAATACCTAAAAGAGGCGGTTCGTGCATACGTGCAGATTAAGCCGAACACATGGACCAGCAGCAACATCGCACCATATCTCCAGCAATTTCGTATCATCAGACGGTCCCTGGCTGAATTGATCGAGTATTTTTTCATAAGGGGGAATAGGCACGCACATATTCCTCCGCCGGTAAGCGTGACTTCTATGGCCGCCTAAAAAGGACACGGAATAGGAACGTCCCGCCTACTTAAAATAGATGCCCCGAGATACATTTCAGTAGAAGTAAATATTCCCGTGTCTTAATCCCAGCACTAATCCTAACAAAAAATAAAATGAAACCTTAATGTTAAACCTAGACCTGCCTTAAACCTAAATCAAACACGAACTGAAACCCTAAGCCTTAACATACTCCTGACCCTAACCCCAACTCTGCTCTGAAACTTCACCTAAACCTTAAACCTAACCCTGAACTTAACGCTAACTCTGGCCTTAATCATAAACCTAATTTCCTCGGAATTTAGCGAAAAGACCCAAGTCTTGTGGGCACTTCCTGTTCTCATGTCCTGTTTATGCGGCCATACATCCTTACCCGTTTAACTTCTCGGAGCAAGTGGGTTCCAAAGTTTTCTCGTTGGTATACCGGATTTTGTGGTTGTGATGCCATAAAATATTCAATGATCTACTTCAGTAAAATATAAAATCTGACGGTAGGTTATCTTCCCCTGATGTCCCAACCCTCCACCATTTAACTTCGGCCATTTATGGGGAACTTCGCAGAGAACTAGTATAAACTTTCTTCTGACAAAGTAGATGATATTTCATGGCTTTCCAGTTGAATAAACATCGTCCCGGCTACTAGTTACTTGTTTTGTTGTGTAAACTGTTCGCTATTATTGAAACTCGTCGGTAGCTTCCTGCCCTTCCTTTCCCTAGAAATTAGCTGGATGTTTTTGTCGAGGCAGAGGGTTAGGTTTTACATTTAAGTTGGGCATTGATTGGTTGATATTTAACGTTCGGGTTGTAGTTAGTCTGGGCTATCGTTAGAGTCTAAAGTCGTGTTTTTGCTATTTTGTTAGTCCTTGAAGTTGGAAGTCTGGGTGGACATTTTCTAGGAAAGCGATGACAAGGAGCAACCATTTCTCTTATTTAGGCGAAAAAGCCCCTTAGAGCGTCAGAAAACGTTTGCTACAAGATGGACACGGATCGCCGGCCCCATGAATTAACGCCAGGTATAATGGCTATGAACACAGCCTCTCTGCACAGATTAATCGATATTTCCTTTTATGATTATGATTATTCGCTGCCCCCTCTCGTAAAATGGCCAACTGTAGAGGGTCAACTGAACGTTAGCATAGGAATATTTGCTTTGTGTTGGTGAAAATTGCGCAGGAATTTATGCAGGTATAATAAGTAGCAGGCAAATTGTGCAGGACGGAAATTTTTTGCGTGAAATGCATGTACTCAATGAAAGAATATATACAAACGTTTAAGAAAATAAATAGGCGAAATAGGCGCGTTTGTTACTCATTGACGAACCTTCACTGATCGCTATTGGAACCCGCTCTGCCTTGGGGCTAATTCTCGAGCCCCACCAGCAGCCGCCCAGCGGCTAGTAGCTTAGGCAGATAGCATTGCGGACAAAAACAAGGGATTCTGGAGTAGCCAGTTCGAGCTCATTAGTCGTCATCAGCCAGGCATACCCTGCTCCAAGTGTCAGTAATTTGATTCTGCGGCTGCTGGTGGAGCTCTAGAATGAACCCCTAAAGCACAACGGGGCAAGTGAGTCCCCTAACCGATCGACGCGTGTCCATCCACCAATGTTAATTCCAGTATCATCTGCGTGCTGAATTCTGGCTGATAAGCAACATAGTGACGCATGCAGAGAATGCAATATGGAGAACGAAATAAGCACAGATACACAGACTTTTACTTAGATGAGGACGGCTATCTTTGAAGGAGATTTTTTACGTAGAACACTTATTCTGGCAAATGGAATTTAATTGTCAAAACATAGAAGTCTTAATTGCGTTTCATATGTCATGTCCTATGTCTCGGGGATTACGCAAAGAGGAAATAAATTATTATATTCGCTCTTATGCCCCAATTTTTAAGTAAGTCATAGAAAGTCTTTTTATGAATGGCTTGTTCCAATTTCATGCTAAATGGCATTAACACAAGCCTTTTTTCACATCGTCTAGTTAGTCTACATCTAATGTTGGGTTTTATTCTTCAGGAAGTTCAGCGAAGGGGTTTCATTCAGATAAAATTGACAATCGCATTTACTGTGCTCCGCTCTAGTTCCTACTTTCTCACTGGTCCTGAAAGTGACTAATAGCAGAGACTTTTGCTTCATAGAATACCCATTTAAATTAATGTTAATGCTTCTCTGTTTAATAACAAAAACTGTAAACTATGTCTTGGCTTACTACCGATCCCTCCAACCAGTTCAACTGTTTTTGTGCTAAAACGCTTCCAACATACGGCGGAGGAATTTTGTCTATCTTTCGAATACTAGCATCCAAACGTCTGCGGTGAAGCTTTTTAGCAAACGGTCGTAGCTCCTCGCAGGCACTTCTTTAAATTCAGTGAACTTTCAGATACATCTCTTCTGAAGATGCCGACAGGTGTATTAACAACTGGACCGACATTATCTCACGCTCTTTCCTGTTCGAACAAGCCGCGTGAGAAGCGCTACATCACAGGCGGAAGGCTAAAACAAGACGCTTCGCAGTAGCTAACATACAGCGGAAATACGATTTTCAGGTATTTTGGCGGGAAAATATGATACACTTTCGTGGGCAGGGAGGGGGGAGAGAAGTGCACTTGTGCTCTGACCTTTCAAGTAACGAAGTTGGATGACCATTTTCGGAGGCCGGAGTCTCTTATTCCCAGTTCACAGTTGTAAGGTGCGCGCATCGGAAATGACGCATAAATCGCCAGTGCTGATGATGGTGCGAGACGGATGCCCCGTTTCGTCGAGGCCTATCCACTACCTTTCTGTAATGATTGGCAACGCGTCCTCAGTTCCTTCTGATTGGCTCCCGTGGGACCGATTGTCCTGCTTTTGTAGAACTCCGCTTTGGTGGCCAGGCGCTCGGGAGTTTAAGATCCTTACCTTCGTTTAACACCCATCCCGGCGAATAGGACCGCCTTGCAGCAACATCGAAGTTAGTTGTACGCACAAATAGATGCATGATTAA